GCTCTTAACATGGCTTTAAGCAAGTGTAGTTGGTAGGGGGGGGGGCGCCTACTACTACTACTACTACTACTACTACTACTACTACTGCTACTTCCTTCTTCTTCTGCTACTACTACTACTGTTACTGTTATTATTCTCATACCTACGAGTATATTGCGCACATATCGATATTCTATGAGCAACACCAGCGCGATAGAAAACTTCGACTCGCCTCCGCAAGCATAGCGAGAGCCAATCGCCGGAGTCGTTTCGGCCAGGAGGCCGCATCCTGGCAGGACAAGAGGCCTAAGGGTTTAGGGCCTAGGTTTCGGGTTTTGGGTTCAGGGTTTAGGGTTCAGGTTTGGGGTTCAATATCTAGGGATAAGGTTGCGGTTCAAGGAGGTTTAGGGTTCAGTTCTGGGTTCAAGGTTTAGGGTTATTAGGGTTCAGGTTTGGGGTTTTTTGTGCCTCGTACATGGCGGCAAGGACTTGCCCGGATCAGGGTGGTTATGGTCATCACTTTCGATGGGTAAGCAGAAAGCATTAGACTTCACGCGCAGATGTTGGAGCAAGGTTCTTACTGGGGGCATGGCCGGTCATCGACTCGCACAGTGGTGTGATCAAATGTCCCCGACCATGAATGCAGATGTCCCATCATGACACAGTGCCTCCGATGACGGATTCCAAGCTTCCACTGCAAGGAGCAGCTAACAGCTCATTCCCAATTACAAATTTCATATCCCACTTGGCATCTGACTAGCTTCCCTCACTTCGAATGCCGAGAGTGGTTTACCCACTCTGAGGTATTCCGAGATTTCCTTGTCACATACGGCTCAGAGAAGCAAGCGATTCAAGAGATTGAATCTCTGTTACGTTCGTGCCGGCATAGGCATCTAACCCCAAGGACAGGCAGTGTCGGGAATCATTGCCTAGACATACCGTGGTGTAGAAGCCGGAATTGGCCAGAACAGTTTCTTGCATGGGCTTTGGTATCACACATTGGCCCAGTCAACTCAACTCGGGGCTCAGGGTGCGCGTTCAGTCCGTGCATGGCTCGAGTGGAAATCAATGGGGTGTGGGGTGTCATACTGCTGTCATTAGTACCGGCTTCTGCTATGAGTGCATAGTCTTGCTGTCTGTATGGAGCCGGGTACATTGCAGATGGGAGGGATGGGACAGTCAGTGGGTTCTGGACACGAAGAGCCACGGAGTTTGCAAATTGTCTGTGGGCTCCTGTTCGTGTTGCTGTTCGCCTGGTGTGCTGCTTTTTGGTTTATTAGCGGGTTGAAGCTTCCGGGGTGAAGCATAAAAGGACTAACTGACTAACCCTCCTACCCGTTCTTAACCCCCTCAACAGGGTCATAAAACGCAAGCTTCTAGTTTAGGGCTCTTTTGGCCACAGCCCGCAACCCGACGTCTGCCCAGACTGACGACCCCACACCTCCCCAAACCTCAGAAAATCCGCAGTTCTTCCTCCAGTCCGCCGGTGGAGCTGCGCTCTAAGCTCCGGGATGGCGCACCTTCGGAACATGTCTCGGAGGCTCTAGGACTATAGGGTTTAGGGTCTATCGGCTTTAGGGTCTATCGGCTTTAGGGTCTATAGGGTTTAGGGTTTAGGGTCTATAGGGTTCAGGGTCTATAGGGTTCAGGGTCTATAGGGTTTAGGGTTTAGGGTCTATTGGGTTTATAGGGTTTAGGGTCTAGGACTCTCGGCTGTAGCCGGGGTCCATTAATGGAAACACCATTGGACCATGATGGAACAAGTCTGATATACATGAAGCTCTACATCCCAAACCCTGGGAGCCTGCAGAAGTTAAAGAACGGCTCCCGGATCTTTCTTTCTAGCTCGAAGCTCTGCCTGAACGCGACTTCGGTCTTCGAGTTTAGCCTAGGGAGTTGGCACCCGGGGCAGCCGGGGTCGATAGCCAGAACACCCTGATATTCGAAGCCTGACTCGCGAAGCCTCCAGGCACCTAAGCTCGGAGCTGCCCCACCCGATTCCCGCAAAAACTCAGCCCGAAACTTCACGGAAACCCTCAATGCTTCAACCCTTCAGGGACATCTGAGATGCGAGCGCTGCAAGGACAGAGAGTTGGCTCTCCTGGGCGCAACGCAACAAGCGAACCATCTACCCAGCAACTGCAGAATTCAGTATGAGTGACAATGGTGCATAGACAGGTATCCTTCCTGCTGTAGTTATGTGAAGTCTCATACAGTAGCACCAGCTGAGTAACAACATACACCCCGGAAAACTCTCTGAGATCTACTGTCCAGCTTCTAATAAACCTTTATGAGTCATGGGAAGCACTTGCTCCGCTTGGGTCCTCACAAGGGTCGATCCCACATTCTCGTGACTAAATTACTAAATCATTCATGTTGGCATCTGTTGAGAGGAGAGCCAGAGCTTTGCAGCCGTCGCGTGGCTGCAATGTCGTGGAGCCGGAGCCAGCTCAAGTATCTTCTTCTCCACAGTCAAGTCTCGCAAGCCCTAACCACTGGGTTCATCATCCTTTTAAACTCTTGCTCTGTCCCCAAAGCTTTGACAGTCGGAAACCACAGTCCTACGAAAACTGCCTGCTCCCGATTCCATAATAAATATATCTCGACGTTAGGCCCGGAGTACTGGGTTTCTGGCTTCCTGTCTGGCTGCTGAGGCCTCCTTAAAAGGATAAGCAAGATGAAACCCTGTGCCACAGCTCTCATACCTTCGAGAACATCCCGCACCCAATCTCCGGGTTACTATAAAACTTCTCGGGCCAGAAACCTTTGAGCCTAAATCCCTCCATGAACCCTCGAAAAATCCACCATTTTCGAGGTTGCGTGTTTTAGTTTCCTTGTACGGCCCTGAAAAAAACATATAGCTTTTGCGGATTCAGGGGATGCACTGAAAAGCAGAACTGCTAGCTCCACACCGGGTTTCTCCAAACCTCTCTTGCCCCACAAAGGCTTCGCCTTTTCGCTGAAGCAAATGGCGGCCAGGGCCAGGCAAACCGACTGGGGACCACCTTGCGGCTCAGGGTCTACCGTTTTCTTATGTTCATTGGTGTTGTTAAACTTATGGAGTCTGTAGCCTGTTTATGTATATGTATATGTATATATATATATATAGTGTACGTATGTATTCTGAACTGAACACAGCACATTCTGTCCTGTATTCCCTCGGTCTCTCGATGCAATGTGAAGCCTAAGAGCAGCAGCTATCGCAAAACCTGTCACATTGCTCCTCTACTTAATTACGAACCTTCCAACGGGGACATTAAGCCGTTTTAGGGTTTAGGGTTTAGGGAATATAACCTCGGGACACAAAATCAAATCTAAACCCCGAAGCCAAACCCCCGAATACTACTGCTTCCATGACACCATCTGCTTCAGTTAGCAGTCCGGCAGATGGGTCGGGTGCAGCAAGAGCAGCGGCCAGGGTGTCAACAGAGCCTTCAGGCAAATGGTCTGGGCTTTAGGACTTAGAGTTATAGACTTTAGAGCTTAGGATTTAGGATCTAGCAGGTAGGATTTAGGGTTTGCGGTTTAGGGCCTATAGGCTTTCATATATGGGCTTCATATCAAGCTCAGGGCCGAGGAATGCCAGAAGAATGGATTTCGGGTTTCCGGTATTTCAGCGTTGCGTTGTACGACTTACGCTTAAGAGTTGCTTTCGCGTTCAGTCTTCAGAATTTGTCCAGTGATTCAAAAACGACAATAAGAATGAATGGGAATCAAACACAGGATAGTCATGTGTGTAGTATATTGTGCAATTCTATACGCACACATCGTGGATATTCCATCTCCGTGCCCTTGGGTCCTCAGAAACCAACATCAAGCCAGAGAACATTCCAGAACTCCGATCTTTCTACAAACTATACTACTCGGCTGCAGCCACATAATACCAAAGTAAATGGTCTTAAACACAACATAGCCTTAGACAGGTAAGACCAAAGCCTCAACCCCTCGACTCACATGGGGGTTTCTGAAAATAGGGGACCCTAATATAGTACCCTAAATAATAGGACCCTTACTATAAGGACCCCAAAATACGGTACCCCTAATTTTCGGAATCTCCCACATGGCCAGCCTCCCCTCTTCTGAAGGGCGCGGCGCGTGGCAGAGGCCGCCGCCAAGTGGACGGCGAGCATCTCACGAAACCAATCTGCCTCCTGGCTCTTTAAAGAGGACCCGACCCAGGAGATTCCTTTTGAGACCCTGAACCCCGAAACCAAAAATCAAGACCCTATACCCTAAACGCTTCCTGAGGGTTCTATGAAATTTCTGTATGGGCTTTGTAGAAGAGCTCTGTAGGCTTCGAAGCTGAAGGCTTCTAGGCCTCAGGGTCATTTCCAGGTATCGGGCTTCCGAAGTTGCCTTTAAGGGTTTAGGGTTTAGGGTTTTAGGGTTTAGGGTTTTAGCGTTTTAGGGTTTAGGGTTTAGGGTTTAGGGATCTCTTGGGGGTCTTGGGCTTCAGGGCTTCGGGGCTGCAACCGTAACCCACAGCCTGCAGCTTTGATTTTTAGGATTGTAGAAGTTTGGAGCTCGCATCGAGTGTTCAGGGTTCTTGGGGATATGCTGAAGATGTAGGTCATATTCATACTGTTTAAAGATGCATAAGCTCAAGTCAACAAAGCCCGTACTAGCTTGGTGACATAGTACGCATCGGGATGCTTCTTCGTCCTCACAGCCGCTTTCTGAACAAACCGTGCCCTTCTCTAATCTCAGAAAGCATGCGCCCAGGACTGCTGTATAAGGACAAATGACGTCCGCATGTAGCTTAAATATGCAAGGCGCACCCGCCAAGCACAGAAATCCTAGTTCCTCGGAGCAAACTTCAAACCAAACCCCTAATGTAACCCCAAACATCGAGCCTTCGTGCAGAAGAGGACGCACCAAAACTACACCCCCCCCCGTCCCCCCTCCGCCCAAAAAAACGAAAACTCTGCCGAACAAGCGCTCCTGAATGACTGCAACTCCAGACCCAAATCCCACATCTTAAACCCACCTCGCGGGACATCTCTTGGCCCTCTTTGACTGGGCGATTGATCAGCAGCTCGGCAGTCTTCACCTTGGGGGGTGTGCGATTGCTTTCTGCAGTAAGTGGAGGTTTGTCCGAGGTTTAAAGTTTAGGGCTTAGTGAGATGAAGGCTCCAGCACTGCAGGTGGCACAGTGGCACGGTTGATGCTTGCGGTTTCTTTCGCAAGCTGCTTTGCGACTGCTGTCTCCGGTCCGTGCTCCAGCCTGGAGCCTGCAAGATGTGGGGGCTCTGGAACCGGCAGTTGCAGTGCGGGTGAAAGCCCTCCTTGTCACCTAGAGTGCTCAGGGTCAGCGATAAAAGTTTCGACTCTCACGCTCGCACAAGGCAGGCGAGGCTCCTCATAGTTCTACAAGGGTCGTTTTAGGGCTACATCAAGCAAAGGGTCATACTGTGTCCACTCGTGCAAGCAGTATAGGCACAAGAGAGTTTTGGAATATGCAGAGACACTTACAGTACTATGGAAGCGCTGCATGACTTAGAGACACTACAGTAACTGACCTTGGTTTGCAGGGTTGTGAAGGCTTTGCTGGAATTGGGGCTTGAGGGCCCCAAGCCCGTTTTAAACGAGGTCTCTCTGAAGTGCCCCAAGCCCTGAACCCTAAACCCCAACGGTGGAGTTGGGCTTTTAAGTCAGTTCTTGCTGAGTAGCCCTTCAAATCTTCGGAGCTTTATTCCGTTGGACAACAGATTCTGGAGTAGATTATCGTATGGATGTATACAGACAGTCTTGTAGTGACTATTTACAAGGGGATCGCGTTAATCACTCTGTGTTCAGACCCCTGGATTGGGGTTAAACGGTTTGGGCATATGCAAATGCATCAACTGCACCTGCTTAAAGATCATTGCGAGGCAGGCTTCCTTTGAACTCCCCCTTTCCGGCACTAAACCCCTAAACTCTCAGAGGCTGCGCAGCCGAAGTCGCCCAAACAAGAACTGGCAGAACCAGGCCTTGGCCTGTGGGGACTCAGCCGTTCTCAGGGTTCCGGGACGAGCTCGAGGGCATATGGCAGTCTATGCCGCTTCGGCAGTAAGGCTCGAAGACCCCCTAAGCCCCGAAACAGAATAATATCTAAAAGCGTAAAAACTAGACTATATATATATATATATACATACATACATATGTAGAGAGAGAGAGAGGCAAAGAGCGAGCCATGGATTCAAGCAGGGGGTTGGGGTCCTGCTGCGCTGCCGCACACACGTTCGTGTGCAAACGATGCTTCGAGGCTTTAGGGGCTTTCGGTATTCTGCAATGGAAGGATCTGGATCTGGGCACAGGAAGGCCCCAACAATGGTCGGAACCCTGACAGAGAGACCCCCTCTTCTCCAACTCTCTGAACCCTCGTAGAACCTCACATCCCAACCACAACCTTTTCAAACTTTACGACAAGAGCCCTCGAGTTGTCTAAAGATTCTCCCCACGCAGAGACTGGGCAGAGTTCCCTACAACCTCACCACGGTGCTACAGGGTATGTGCAATCGCACCTGAGTACGCGTGCAGGTACACACTCAATGAACGGCCTGGCTTTACATGTTCTACGAACATCTTGGGTTTTACCGGCTTGCAAGTCTCATGGTCCATGCAGGTGCATGAATAAAGCTCTGTACACTTTATACTCGGCTCATAGGGTTACATATAGTATGAACGGAACCCTGCCAGGGATGATGTTAATCACCAGTCAGGCACCTATGGCACGTAGAACTCGCGAGTGTCATCCCTTCGAGAGACTTCGGCGGATCCGGACAATTCCTTAGGGGCTGAGTACCCTAGCCCAAAAAAGTTTTACCTTTTGAATTATAGTAGGATTATATAAGCCCCAAAAGGTTAAAGGTTACCCACGCAGCCCCCCAACCAAGATTCTGATGGAAGCCCAGATTAGCAGTCCAGCCTCATCTCGCCCGGCTCCTTCGCAACCTCAAACCCGAAGCCCCCCATAAACATCCTTATATTACTCATAGGCCCCATAGTAGTTCCTTCTTGGGGTACATATATATATAGAATCCTATAAGGTAATCCCCAAAAAGGAACTACTATGGGGCCTATGGGTAATGACAATCCTGAAACCCTGAACTCAAAGTCAAAGCTTCGTAGCCTGAAGCCCGAAACCCCCGAAACCTTAAACCCTAAACCCACCCTAAACCCCAAAGCCCGAAACCCCCGCAACCCTAAACCCTAAACCCACCCTAAACCCTAAAAACCCCGAAACCCCAGATATCCCAACCGACTTTACCCTCGACTCTGTGCCTGGGACTTGGCACAGCGAGTTGCGAGCAAAGACCATGGCCATGTATCCTCAGCTCTTCGGATCGCTGCCTTTACCCATAGGCCCTAAAGTAGCTCCTTTTTGGGTTAGGGAACCCTAAACCCTAAACCCTAAACCCTTTAATAATAGTTATAGGCCCCATAGTAGTTCCTTTTTGGGATTACCTTATAGGATTCAATTTCTTTACCCATAGGCCCTAAAGTAGCTCCTTTTGGGGGGCTCATATTTAGAATCCTATTAGGCAGTCCCAAAAAGGAACTAAGCTACTACTTTAGGGCCTATGGGTATCTAGATATAACATGGACGCCCATGATTACCAGAGCCAGCTTCAAGTTCCCTGAAGTTTCTGATCTTGCACGGTGCAAGCAGAGAGAGGTCTAAGGCGCGCGTGACAAAACCGGAAGAGGGCGGAGCCAACACCTTCGAGGAATCTCGAAAACCGCACGCCATGAATCCGGTACGGTTTAGGGTTTAGGGTTTAGGGGTTTAGGGTTTAGGGTTAAGACCTGAAGTACTGAAGCCGAAGACTCTCCCGAATCCCGAAATAAATACCATGATCTCTTAAGCGGCCAGGCTTGTCTTGCTGCTGAAATCATAGCAACAAATACTTCAAAATGCTGACCACCAACCTCACCCTATAACCTGACATATAGAAGGACTGTTCCTACTTTGAGGGGCTCGACATCGTCGAAGTTTAAGCTTTCCGCATGTCTCACTTGACACCAAGCCCAAGTAACCCCTAAACTGGAACCGAAGATGTAAACGACTGCGAAGAGATAACGGCGAGAGGCTCTTGTACAAGGTGGAGTTCGTGAACCTTTGCAGGCCAGCAGCTATTTGCGCTGAAGGCTGGCTTGTGTCAATGGTGCATGTGCGTGTGGGCGCTGAGAAGCGGAACTGAAGAACGCCAGAACTCCCAGAAATCGCAGCATTGCATTCACTGGAACGATACTCAAGGGCCGCTCCCGGGGATCAAACGATTCGAGTCTTCACTCTTGCTTTATGCAACACCGGGCGCCCTGCTGAAGACCTTCGCGCAACAAATCATGCGGCGGCCAAGCGGCCGCACAGCAAAATGCAATATAGTTTAGGGCTTTTTTGTTGGGGTTTAGGGTTTAGGGTTTAGGGTGCAGGGTAAAATGCAATACACACTCTTCCTTTCTCATCCTTCTTTGTCGATCTGCTGATGTGAATGCGGGAGCTACTGCTGCAACAGTGCCAAGAACAAACTCCGACCACTTCCTCCTAACTGTGACAAACGAAAACTGCTCTGTTCAGAGACCCATAGTAAGCCTTATAGTAATCCTAATGGCAACCCTTCTAGTACATCCCCACCCATGGTCTCAGCCCGCGGCCAGCGGTATGCATCCTTGACGAAGGGCTTGGGTCCAGGATTTAGGGGCCGCTTTAGGGTTAATTTAGAGTGTGCGGTCTACGTGGTCAGGGTTCTAGAAGTTCAGCTTCCATCCATGTGCTGCGCGATTTTTTTGTAGTCTGGGTTTGCTTCGGTTCTAGGTAGGGGGGGGTGTTCAGGGCTCCGACAGCGCGAAAGCCGTATCCAAACTGCATCTTTATTCCCTGGCAGGTTCTACAGCCATGTTCCAACATATTACATCCCCAAACCCTCCTAACTAACTGCCACGACCCCGCAAAGCTGCAGCACGCAGCCGAGGGATCTATCCCAAATCTCCACCTAAGTCCGAGCCAGGCGGCCGAGCCGTCGAGGTCGAGGACAGCCACATCAGGGGCCAACTGGCGCGTCTTCGCACTTCACATGCTGGATGCTTTTGCAAATCTAGGGCTCAAGAACGCGGCTTCTGTTGAGGCCCGGCGCTAGGCCAGTGCCCACGCGCCAGACTCTTTAGCGAAACTCCTCCGTCAGCGCCCTTTTGGGCGCCGTGTGAAAACACTCCATACCTATCATCCGCAATCCCCATTCCCTTTTTTTCCTAAACCCCGACACCCAATTTAGCCAACAACAAAGAACTGACACAAAAGCGCGTGGGCACACACACACAAACACAAACTCAACGAACACACCTTTTACACAGGCTTGACTGTTGCTCGCCCGGCCAGGTTAGCTGAACCCTGAACCCCAAAACAAAGCACCCCCAAGCACCCCCATAGAAGCACCTTGTACTAACCGTACCCTCCTACCTTCTCACAGTAATTCTCATGATTTTTCCCCTTTTATACCCATAGGCCCCAAGACTAGTTCCATTTTGGGATTCCCTAGTATATCGGAGAAATCGCCGACCCCTCCCTTTCGCCTCCCCGGCCGCGTCTCTGAGAGGCTCGGACTCCAGAGCCAAGGCGGCACAGGCGGAGCTGGCCCAGGTCGTCGAGACCTTCGAAGGCACTAAGCCACTAAGCTGCTCACAAAACTTCTTCTGATAGTCCAAGATATAGTGGAGAGTACTTCTGAAAGATGATAATTATGACTATAGTGGGGAGTACTTATGAATTATGATAATTAGGACGATGTTGAAAAAGGATTTCGGATTTATGGTTTCCAGTGTCCAGCCTGCTAGCTCCATTCCAGTATCATGATCTTTAGAAACTGCCTTCCAGCTGCTGCTCCTGGGTGTCGCAGCTTCCGGGGGTTCGGGAGAGTTTGAAGTCAACTTGGGCCGCTCGAGGATTGAAGTCAACTTCGACCCCCACCCTCCAGAACTGCCGGAACTCCGCGCAGCAGGCGTAAAAGGAGGCTGTATGCACCGGTAAGACTGAGCCGCAGGCATGCTCCACAACAAGGAGCCTCGGAAACCAAGCACGGCTGACGTCGGCTACAGTGAGTCTTGGAACTTGGAACACCGACGCCCATAAACGTAAACCTACGAACCAGCCCGCTATGGTCACGTTTCGCTCAAAACCGAAGGTCTCAGGGCCCCGGCCAGGGCTCAACATCAGAGGCATCGCTGCGGCGGCAGCGGATCAGGATGCCCACGCAGCCTTCACGACCATTTTTGTTTCTGGGAACCGCCCCGTCCAACTTATTTGTCTGAGAAGCTTACCAGTGCGGGACAATGACATGGAGGTTTAGAATAAAGGGCTCTTCAATCTTCAGGTTAGCCTCTTTATGATCCAGGCCTATCGCGTAGACCGCCTCCTCTGGGTGGAGCTTCCTCGGCGAGAGAGAGACGGTTGACACCGCAGCAACCAAAACGCACCATGTTGCTGGTTCAGGGTTCATGCTCTCACAACTCGAGCTAAGGCTGTCGCTAGTTATTTTGTTGAAAGGCTGAACTCGGACAAGCACATAGCTGTGAATATTATTAGTGGAACGACCATGCTGTGGTTGGTGTTCTTCGATGCTTTATCAAGGCTAGCTGTCCTTCTTCTGGGCCTTGCCTCATTCCGGCACGGAAAATTAGTCACGATCCTGCAGGTTGAGCTGTCTTCGTCATCCAAGCTGACCCAAAAGAAAGGGAGAGCCTGCCGCTGTGCTGGATGCTGATAGGAACCATGGTTCCTATCAGCTACGCAAACGGTGGCTGAATGGACAGCTCTCCTGGAAGCTGCAATAGAGGCCGAAGCCCCCCGTGCACCTGATCAGCCTGGAGGCCTTTGGACGCACAGGCACGCCGACACTCCTAATGCATCCACGCGTCTCAAGCTCGCTGATGAGACTTGCGCTCTCCTGGAGCTGCTCCAGAAAGGTCGTGCCGGTGAGAAAACATCGCCTCAAGCCGTGCTTCGGTGGGTTTGGGCTCAAGACTTTCGGCTTTCATGGGGCGAAAAGAGCCCCTGATGTAATAAGGACGGCCTATCAGGTTCTTGGCCCCAAAACAGCATAAGACGTCGCTGCAGTAGGGACGTTCAACGCACAGCTGGCTTTGAAAGCAGCATCGTAGTATGATGAACTAGAGCTTTTATGATAGGGCTGCCATAATCGAACTTGTCTTTTGAAAGGCATAGGGTACATGCGAGTACAGACAGCAGAACTAACTAGCACGGGCTTCCGAAAAAATCGGCTAACAACCCAGGGTTTGGGGATCGAAACCTTGAAGCCATCGAAGCTGGTTCGCAGATACGGGGTTTGTGTCTTATAGTTATACCTCCAAACTCTAAGCAAACAACCCTGGGCCCTAAAACCTAAACCCAGATCCTGTACCCGAAATCAGACTCGGTGGGCCAGGCCACGGCAGGTCCTTTTCTCCGCCAGCCAGGGACAAGGTGGAAAGCGCGCGCAGGTCGTGGCCCCAGCGCTCCTGCGGACCAGAGGTTAGGGTTTCATGTAGGGGCCTTAATAATTAGAATAGGGCTTTTAAGGTATGTTATACTAAAATTATAGTAAGGACCCCCAAAAGAGTATTGGTAATTATTTAGGCCCCTACATTATGAGGGAAGGATGTCCTCGATTCGTCGCCAAAGGATTCAAAACGCCAGGGTTGGAAACCGTGGGGTGCTCGCCAGTGCTCGCTATCCCTACAAGGCCCTACAACTTAAGCTCTAAACCGACAGTTAGTCCTAAACCATACAACCCTACACAAAAGAACACATCCCAAACCCCAAAGCCCAAACTCAAAAACAAATCCCAAACCTGCAAAAATGCAAAATCTTGCAGCCTACGCAACCCTTCTGCATAACACCCTACTATAAGAAATATGAATGCCATCAAATCCTAAACCGGCCTGTTCTGTGTTGCCGTCTCCCTCATCTGGCAGGTTCTTCTTCGCACGCTGCAGGACCTGCGCCGGTCGAACCGGTTTCAGGGCTTTGGAACGGGGTTTAGGGTTAAGGGTTTATAGGGTTTATAGGGTTTAGGGTTTAGGGCTCTGGAAAGCACCGTGCAGGGGTTTTCCAGGATGTGTTAGAGCGGCCTTAGCAAGACTACCACGAATTGTTCACACCACTATATTAGGCCCCGAGGGGCTTGGGGTTCGCTCCAAGGCCATCATCATCATCATGGTAATCTGACGACTCGGACACTCTGAAACCTCTTGCCAGGACAATAGCACGAGAAATCCTGCGGAAGTCTCAGTAGACAGCCTGGGTCTCGTCTTATGCGGCCGAAGTCCCCAGGCACAACATGCGGCCTGCACATTGCAAGCAGAGCTTGCACACCCTAGGTTCAATCAAACTCGTACTCCAGACACCCAAAGCCCGAAACTGAGGCAGGCAAACCTCTATACCTAAAACCCTAATGTTTTGCTAAATTACTTCCTGAAGGCCTCTAAACTCCCTAACCCAAAGCCCTAAAAGCCCTAAACACAAGACTCGACATACAGGCCCTGAGCCCTCAAATCCTGCTTGCAGTTCTGGGTTTCCATGCTCGTGCACCGAAGCGCATGGAAGAAACCCGCCGGATCCAGGCCGACACTCCTGGCTCCTGCTCGGGATATTAAGATGTCTTAAGAGTTTAGGCCTCTACATGTAGGGGTTCATCAAGGGTTCCATAGAGGCTCCGTAAAGAAATTGAATTTAGGGCGAAGTAAGCCGTAAACAGTGAACTCAAAAACCCTTAGAGAGTAAATACGGTTTAGGGCCGTTTAGGGTCGTGCTTACGCTCTCACAACTCGGACGAGCCAGGCGAGGTGCGAGTCGGCGTGAAACTCGTGCTGTGCTTAGGGTTTTGGATGCAGAGTACAGCTTCGGGCCAAGCGTTGAGAAGCCAGAGAGAGAGAGAGAGAGAG